TCTTAAACTGTCGTGTTTCTTCTTTGGATTTTATTAATTCATCTTCAATTCGTTCCTTTTCTATTGTAATTTTATCATTTTGTTTTATTAATTCTTTATTCTTTATTTCAAGTTCTCGAATGTCAATTATTCCTTTTTTATATTTGGAATTCAATTCTTCATATTCGGTTTCCATAGAATCGAATTTAACTGCTGCATTATTCATGACTTGAATTTGTTTAGAATATTCGGAACTTTCTTGTATTAATTTTTCATTTTGTATTGTTAAATCATGAATAGTTTCTTCATATTCATCTTTCGCTTGATCAAGTTGACGTTTTGATTGATTAATTTGTCGTTCTAATTGATTAACTTGACTATTTAAATCTTCACAACGTTCTTTAGTTTCTTTATATTTCATTTCTGTACTTGTTAAATTAATTTGTAATGATGATAACTCTTCATTAGCTTTATTCAATTCTTCTTGAAGATTTTTTATAATTAATTCTGAATTTCCATCCGTTTTATCTTTAGATTTTAATTGTTGATCTTTAGCATCCAATTTTTGTTTAAGATCTTTCATAACTTTTTCCGTTTCTTGTTGAAACTTTGCTATAAGTTTATTCGTGGTTCCATTCTGTCGTTTAAGATTGGTTATTTCTTGTTGTGATTGATCAAGTTTTATTTCAAGATCCTCTTTTTTAGTCTCAAGATCCTCTTTTTCAATTAATATATTTGATAAAAGTGTTTCTGATTCTTTAATTCTTGATTCAGCATCAAGTTGATATTGATACCAAGCTTGTAAAGCAACTTCGTATTCTTCAATTTTGGATCGTAATTTTTTCTCTGATTCTTTTTGTTGAACCCGCATTTCTATTATGACACTTTTAGGATCTTTAAGTATATTATTCATTTGTTTAGAATGGTCATCCTTAAGTTTTTCCATTTCTCGTTCATGTTCTTGACTAATAAGTAATTTTTCTTGATTTGAATGCTGTTTACTTTCTATTAAATTATTTTCGACTTCTTCTTTTAAGATTTTTATTGATTCAAGTTCTTTCATTAATTTATTCTTTTCAATATCATTATCTCTAATTATTTGATTAATTTGTTCTTCTTGTTGAATCCTTAATCGTTCTTCATTTTGTATTTCTTGATCTTTTAACTCTTTTCTTACCTTTTCCAATTCCATCTTATGATCAAACTTCAACCTTTCTAATTCATTCTTTAATTGATGTATCTTTGTATCGGTTTCTTGACTTTGTCTTAGTCTCATCGTTTCATATTCTTTCTTTAATATTTCCAATTCTTCCTTCTCCATAGAACTTGATTCAATTGGAGATGTCATACCAGTACTAGCAACACTATGTTCGTTATCTGATAAACGTAATTGACTTGCCTCAGATTGATAATCTGAAGTACTTTTCGAAAGACTATCATCTCGATGATGACCTTTATATTTAAGAAGATCTGATTCAATACTAACTGGTGACCTTATGGATGATTGACTAACAGGTGATCGTATTGGAGATGAAGATTGTTGATTCATTGACTTTTCATTGTTAGAAGGCAATGAAGTTAATGAAGTATCGATTGTTTTATTCACTGTTCGTTTTATAGGTTTGATTTTAGATAGTATTGATTCACTAACAGTATTTTTATCATTTTCAAATGCTTTAAGTCGAGCTGCAACTTTATTTATTTTTTTAAAAGCCGGTTCAGCTTTATCATTTTTATCATCTTTATCATCATTTATTTTATTTTGGTTGGAATTTCTTGTTGATTTCGGAATCTTATTTGGTAAAGGAGGAAGAGGTCGGTTATTTTGTGAATTTAAATTTTCAAATTGTTCTAATTTCTTTCGCAATGCCGAAGCCATGATTAAATTATAAATGAAAAACTTTTGTTATAATAAAATATATGTTATATATAAATGTTGTTATATAATGTTATATACAAAATGAATATACGAAAAATGTTGTTGTGTCAAGGAGGAAAAAGAATCTAAGAATCTGTTGAAATGATAACAAACAATTCAATAAATTTAACTATGCGTAATGAGTCTGTCTGTTTGCACTTTACATGCATTACCATATTTATTACTATTTAATACTGTAATACGTACTTATTTATTATATATATACGTATAATATATATATATATACTAATAAATGCTATTTAATGCTATTTAATGCTAACTAAGGTCTCACCGTTTTGTAAATTAAAAAAAAAATAAATAAAACATTCTTTACTTAAATGACTTACAAACGTCACACACAATTTCGGTTGTGACATTTTATCATTAAATTGTGTTAACATTTAATCCTTGAGTAACCGTGTGAAAGATTGCTGCGCCATTAAATTAATTTCGTTTTAAATAAAATTAATAAAAATTAATAAATATTTAATATGGTATTTAAACAATAGAATCTCTCAGGTGATTATTACATTATGAGAAAAGGCGTAAATTAATTAATAAAGAGATCAACTCTCCAACTGTTCATCGTATGTGTGATATGCTTTGCACAACGAATTACACAAAAAGAAAAAAAACCAATTATAAGTGATGACTTGAGTAAGAACATAAATATTTTAAGTATCGGTAACAGAAGAAATCCATTCGTACTGATACAAAATGACGGTATCACATATATATAAATTACTTATGACAACGTGAAACCTGAATCTGGGGCTGTTACAAATCATTACCTAATATATACCGATAGTATCTTTTCCTAATACCGCATAATATCGCATCAAAAAGGTAACTTGAAAACTCTGGTTTCAATTTCCTGCTAATAAAAGAAATAACACTATCTTTACAAAGTTAAAATAGTAATGCGGATAAATATTAATTATATTACGTTAAAAAAATCCTTATCGTTATAATGTTACAAAATCAAAATGTCTTCTAAAAATCATTTACGTAGAAACAACCTCGGAGAAGCTCCGTTATAACAATTCCAAAATAAACAAAGAATAGCAACAATAGTTGCAGTTAACGTTTTGTACCAAAATACATATATCCAATCATACAATCATTCGTGCACTTACGTACGTACGTACATATGTAAGGGTATATATGTGCATGTTTAAAAAATAGTAATGATCAACCAAAAAAAAAAACTAGGCTTTTAAATTCGGTATGATTTTATGATTTTATGCATTGCGAATCTCGGTCCCAAATTTCCGATTGTAATTGATTAATCTCATAACCAATTTGTTACGTACATACGTACATACCTATGTACCGGTACCTAAAGTTCTCTCTAATATTCAAATTTTGGCAAGATTAGCTGTCATTTGCCATACATACGTATACGTAATTAAAGTTCCAAACAACATATATACAAAAGATGTTTGTACGATTAATAATCTCTTTTTTATATACCATTTCTGCATTATCATTTGTAAATATTTCATTAGATTTACTACATACCATTATTTAATTATGAATCGTTAGTACGTATCTAACTGTTATGATAAGTATCTTTCCACACCATGTGACGTGTGTTAAAAATTAATTTATCACGCTGGCAATTTATCACGCTGGCAATATATCGCTAATACGTATCACTAATCTCTTTAATCAATTAACAAATGTATATAGTTTTTAAATAGATATTATTATATGGTATTCTATGCATCTGATGTATTCCTTTTATATCTCAAAAATTAGACAAAGATAATAAAAGATAATTTGCAAGTAATCAAATTTATAGAAATTTATTTTAGTTGTTATTCTTTTTAGTCTATTTTATACTGAGTGGTTTTTGTTATTACAAGAATATTCTTTTGCTTGAATATTAAATATTTTGAAGTTTGCTAAAACTAAAAAAATTAATTTTCAAGCAAATTGATAAATAATATTTGTATTATTTATATTACTAGTTTTATTATTAATAAATATTGTTAAATATCACAGGTTGCTATATTACAGATTAATATAATTGACCAATTAGATCACATGATCTTATGTAATGTCACGGGGTGAATTGTACATTTAATACTTTATACACGAAAA